TTCAAAAATATTTTCGTAATTAGCAAACGATATTCCACTACCACGTCTGCCGATCAGGCCACCGTCAGCGCCATAACCGTAACTGCCCATAAAGATTTGTATGTCAGGCCAATCCAGTTTAGGATCCTGATATTTGGTGCTCGTGAAACCCATAACTTCGCTGATGGGCATGGCATAGAAAAATCCATTGGCATGATGTAGAAAGGAGTCCACCGACCGGGTGTTCAACATTTCCGGCACTATAAAGGAAAGACGATGCCCCGTAACGCTATTGTCAACGAGATACTGCGGTCCTGCAGTAGATATATGATCTTGTAAATTGATACCAACGCCAGGCAAATGCTGTATAACTGGTATGCCATGTTGAATTAGTTGTTGCTCCGGCCCGATACCCGAAGTCATCAGCAATTGTGGGCTGGCTATGGCGCCAGCTGATAGTATAACTTCCCGACGTGCGCTAACCTTATGCATGAAGCCTAAATGCTCAAAGTGCACACCGCGCGCTACTTTCGTCTCCTTATCGACGATTATGCGATTGACAAAAGCGCGCAGCACTATATCGAGGTTCGGACGTTTCCAAGCTGGTCGTATATAAGCTTTATTCTCGCTACAACGTAGTCCGTCGCGGATGGTGCCATGCGGCACAGCGAAGCCGGTTTGACTGCGCCCATTGAAGTCGTTAAATGGATTTAGCTGAAAAATAGAAAATTACTCAAACAGTTATGATAAATATTTATAGCAACAACACACCAAGTTCAGCTCCGTGGCTGCTTCCATGAAGACGTCCAATAACGGGGATGGAAACCTATAATTTTCAATTGTAACCGGTCCACCGAAACCGTGATAGAAACGATCGTTCTCGAAGCCTGGCACGCGCATGTCCTCCATTTTTCTAAAATAATGCAAAATGCTGTCATAATTCCAACCAACATTACCCAATTCCGCCCAGTGATCGTAGTCACGTCTATTACCGCGTATATGCATCATTGCATTTATTGAGCTACAGCCGCCTAATAATTTGGCGCGCGGCCAGAAGCAACTCTGTCCTTGCATGGCGAGGCAGTAGCGATCGGATGGCTCTGTGCGATAACCCCAATCAAATGGAGTGCGCTGAAATATTGGATACAACATTGGCAATTCCGATATCATGGGTTCATCACCGCCGGCTTCCAGCAATAACACACTCCAGTTACGCACCTCCGACAGACGCGATGCGAGCACACAACCAGCCGTACCGCCACCGATAATAACAAAGTCATACGAGTCACGTAAATTCAAAATATTCGTTGCGCGCAGTCGGTTATCCTCGTCAACTATGTCCGGTCGGTAAATATTTATGCCATCGATGAGCATGATAATTATTGTCGCGCTTGGTAGAGCCGTGAGCACGAAGCGCCATAGCGTTACAAGACCAGCTCCACCCAACATTTCACACAACTGACAGCAACGGGCTGACTTTTTTTTGTTGGTTGTTAAATTTCACGCGCGCCCAACTGTTTTCAACCGTTTTCAAAATTTCACTGTGCTTGCAAATAGACTAGGCCATTAAGCTTGGTGTTATGCTTCTTCGGCAGACGGTGCTTTGTTGACCCAAAAATCACAATTTGCTGCGCTAGCAGAATTCTTCCAACGGCGAGACAAAATAATAAAAACCAAATATAAGTATAATCGACCAAAAATGCTCAAAAGTTTGAGCTTTATAGAAACTATGAGGCCTAAAATCAAAAGGCTGAGTTAAAGTTCTAAATACTCATTTAAGTTTTGGGTTGAATGTTCTCCTTTCATAATGCTTATTGCTCTTGATATATACATGTGTATGATATACAATATATGTACATATATTCATATAACTTACTTAATAAAATACCACTAATCCAGCGGTCTTTCGGCGATCCCTTGAATATGGAATCATGACCTTCTTTAACAGAAAATGCATGAAAGACTTCGAAATCTTCCTATACGTACGATTCGTGGTAAAAACAACTCTCTCTACATTGGTCTACTCTGACAGAAATATAATTTTGTGATGACAGCAGTGAAAAACTAGAAAGTTTGATCACTTGGACCCTAAAGTTTAGTCTATAGTAAAGTGTTTACTTGTAGAGATAGAATAATTTTAGCCGAATATAAATTCGTGTTCATTACGTTTACGTAAACCAAACGTCGATAATCTTTAGTTTAGCCTCAGATACGACTATTCGACTAATTATGGTTCATATTTCCGGTGAGAACATTGTTTTAATTCGGAAAGATAAAAACGGTTAAGTACTACAACTACTTTTCCTCCAGCTTTTCCGACAGCCACTTAATTAAATAAATTAACAAATGATATGCTTCGGACTTGCTAATTGACTTCATCAAGTGACTGTTCGAAACACCTGTTATACAGGGTGGGCCATATAAAATTTTAAATTTATAAAGTCAATAAAGAAAAAACGGCTTGATATTTTTCAAAGGTCTCTAACATTTATTTAAAAGGTTGTTTTATGAAATTAATTTGTGGAAAACAATTTCGGACAAATGACCACCACGGTTGAGTTCATAGTAGCTTATCCGATCCACCCAATTTTTGAGTACTTTCTCGATGGTTTCAGGCCTTATGGCAGCTACAGCAGCTTGAATCTCGTACTTTAGATCTTGAGTTGTTTCTGGATGGTTGGCGTAACATTTATCTTTAACAGCTCTCCACAGAAATTAGTCCAACGGAGTTAAATCGCACCTTCTGTGAGGCCAATTCACATCACCTCTTATGCTGATTATGCGATTTTCGTTCGAAGATTGAGTGTAGCGTTTGCTGTATGGCACGTAGCGCCGTCCTGCTAGAACCAAATGTTGTCCAAGTCTTCCTCTACAAATTGCTTGCAGAAAAATTCCGTTAACAATGCGCGATATCGCGCACCATTGATGGCTACGGCAGTTCCTTCTTCACTTTCGAAGATTCCAAAGGACCAAAATCCGCACCATACAATGATTCGTGCTGGGTGCATTGGCTTCTCGACGATTACGTGCGGGTTTTCTGTGCCCCAAATGCGACAATTCTGCTTGTTAACGTAACCATCGAGGTGGAAATAAGCCTCGTCCGAAAAGATGATTTTTCGGTTAAATTAACCATCCACTTTGAAAAACGGTTTTCAATATTTCCCAGTTTTCTTCTAGTGAATAGCGACCCATTTCGTAAATTTTAGATTTTTTACTGAATATCTGTCACTTTCCGAGTGGTATTTGACTTTTCCAATGTCGAAATATAGATAATTCAAATTTAAAACATTAGATGGCCCACCCTGTACTATATTTGAACAATTAGATATACTAAGCAGACTACCTAAACAGGTGTTCAAATAAATTGTGAATGATTTATAATGTTAATGCATTAGTTATAAATCTTTCAACAAGCAATTATCGCATAAATTGGATTTTATTTTATAATTCCTTTATTCGTTATTAAAAACAAAAACAAACTTAATATGAAACTAACATTTTCCTTTTCTTTTTCCTTCTATTCTAGGTGAGCTAATCTATGCAATAATCAACATGTATGTATGTATGTCATTATGACTCACACCACTCGGTACTATATTCCGATTATTGTTCATTATTTCCTCGTCAGTAAAGTACGTCTCGGACTTTCTTTGGATGTATTTTAAATCAAGTGTGCAATTGTCATACTGAAAAAGAGATTTAAACTGTATCTTCAACAAAAAAGCTCAAAAACATGCCTTTTTTCGACGAAAAATCACTCAACTTTTAGATGTCCATTGTGTACTTGAAAAAATTGGCTCACACTGTTACTGGTTTGAGAAACTGAACTCAACTGAAAAGTGCCCGGCCTGCCACATATGTAGATAGCGCTACTAGAATAAAATCCACATGATTTTTAGTTAAACTTAAACTTCAAAAGGCGCACGTATAAATTTGATAGCTGTCGGATCATTAGTTTGTGAATTATATCTCTTTAAATGCAAAAACTTTCTTTATTGTGAAAAAACTGATAAAAATGAATTTCACGTGTTAAAAGCATTGTGTTTTGTGAGAAAAATACCGTTGAAGCCAAGTTTTGGATTGATTAACATTATATTGACTCTGACTCAGGGAAAACGACCGTTGAAAAGTAGTTTGCTATGTTTGAACGAACCGAGCACGACGATGGCAGTGGGCGATCAAAAGAGTTTGTCACCGGCGAAAACATCAAAAAGTCCACAAACTAATTTTGGTACAACTTAAACTGAAGTTGTTCGAGATGGCAGGCACTCTAAAGATATCAACTGAACATGTATATCATATCATTCGCAAATATTTGGGTATGAGAAAGCTCTGTGCATAGCGGGTGCCGCGTGAGCGCACATTTGACGGAAAACAAACGACCAGTTGATGATTCGATGCCGTGTTTGAAATGTTGAAGCGTAATAAACACGAGTTTTTGCGTCGATATTTTACAATGAATGAAACATAACTCCAACGTTTGACTCCGAAGTCCCATCGACAACTATACGAGCGTACTGCCCAAGTTAAACCTGGTACCAAGCTTGGAATAACGCAACAGTCGGCTGGCAAAGTTATGGCGTTTGTATTTTGGGCTGCGCCTAGAATAATTTTTATTAACTGCCTTGAAAAAGCAACGACCGTCAGTCTATAGGACTATAATACGAGTACATAGCGTTACTGGACCGCTTGATGGACGCCACGCACCGCGTCACAAGTCAGTGAAAACAATGGTAAAAATACATGCATTGGGAATTCGAATTGACCCCAACGACGACTTCCCGTACTCAGATCTCAAAAGAATGCTCGTCGGGAAGAAATTTTCGTCCAATGAAGAGGTGCTCATTTTGAAGCAAACGGCAAATTGTACTACAAAAATGATATCGAAAAGTTGGAGGGTCACTATAATCACTGTATTGCCTTTGAAAGAAATTATGTAGAATAAAAACTAACACATTTTGTCAAAATAACGTTAGTGCATACAGTTGTTTTTTTAAATAAATATAATCGAATAAATTAATACTAAGACATGGCTTAAACTTCAAAAACAAGTATATACACGAGTAAGGAGAACTATCACGTTTGTTCCTCCTTCCAGTCGTCCTCAATCATCACAGCTGCTTTTTCGGCAATTAGCGTTGTTGGCCCATTCGTATTGCCGCTGGTTATTTCTGGCATTATGCTCGCATCAACCAGACGCAATCTGTTCACGCCGCGCACTCGTAGACGCTGATCTACTACAGCGTGCGAATCGGTGTATGCGCCCATGCGACACGTGCCCACCGGATGCCAAGCACCGATATACAAGTATTTTATGTAACACAACCAATAGTCATCTGAATCGTACGGCAGCCGATCGCATTCCTCAATGGGCACATGCAACAGCTGTAAACCATAATTTCTAAACGCCGCAGTGGTGCACATGCGCTGCACGAAGCGCACATTTCTTAGCAATGTGAGCTGGTCAGCGGGCTCGCTGGCATAGTTGTTGTATATGAGCGGCGGCGCTTGAGGATCGGCCGAGCGTAGACGCACTTTGCCTCGCGAAAGCGGACGTAGTAACGATCCATAGATTTGTAAGAGGCTTTTATTGTCGGCCGCGCGTGAAATCCCAGCGACTATTTCATCGCGAAGCTGCAGAAATTTGAAGCTGTCGGCAGTACCCGCCGGTACAATCGTGTGCGACACCAAGTGCAGATCGGGATACTGACTGCTGCTGCTCGCATTGCTGTTAATGAAACCCATAATGCTGATACTGGCTGCAAGTGGACCCGTTTGGCGCAAAAAATAATCGGCAACGCTTTGTGGTTCGCCCATACTGCGTGGCAGGTTAATTTCGCGCCCAAACTTGAGTATCAAAGGCAGCATGCCGTGATCATGCAGATTATTGCCTACAGGCAAATCTGCGATTTGTTTTATGCGCAGCGCTTTCAAATGCTCACTTGGCCCAATGCCCGACTGTAACAGTAATTTTGGCGAATTTATGGCGCCTGCCGCCACAAGCACCTCGCTCATAGCGGCAACTTTTAAGCGATGATGATTTCGTAAGATGAATTCAACACCCACAGCGCGACTGTTGTCTGAAGAAAAGAGTATTTTCGTAACCATTGCCCTTTTAATGACATGTAGATTAGGTCTGGTGCGTGATATTTGCCCCAAATACGTTTTCGCAACGCTCATGCGCCTTCCCTTTTCTATATTCGCGGGTATTGCGTCTGTATAACCAACGATAGTGCCATCCGATAAATCGGATATATAGCGCAACCCTAGCTCGCTGCTAGCATTGAGCACAAGTTGCGCAAGTTCATTGTGCTCCTCCAGATGGTCAAACTGGTTCAGTACTACGGTACCAAGTGGTTTATCGACGACTTCGTGCTGCGTGGCTTTCAACGCTTTTTCGTACAAAAATTTCATTTCCTCCCACGACCACTTATCGCAACCCAATAGACGCCATCGATCGAAATCCTCTTTATTACCAAGCAAAAAAATGCTTCCACTCATAGAGCTTGAGCCACCTATCATTTTACCACGCGGCCAATAACAGCGACGCTGCTGCATGCCTTGACAACAGTTCGGATTCGGTTCACCAAAGTCGGTCCAGGTGTAGGGGCTGTGATGTAGCGTAGAACTTAGTGTGAAGATCTGAAAAGATTAAATAGAAGGTTAGACAACAAGCAAACGAACCAGGGGGTACTTAGATAATCCGTTCAATTCGGGGGTTCTATGATCTAAATAATATTCATACAATTGTATATAACATTGTGAATAGCAGTTAACCGGGTTTTTTTGCCGGAAATCTTTATTTTACCTTAGCAAAAAATTTTAGCATTTTTAATGAACCTATGATCTGCGATCAATCAGGTGCTTCTACTAAATGGAGAATTGACAGCAACCTGATGAATTATTATTATACTCTCGCAACAAAGTTGCTAAAGAGAGTATTATAGTTTTGTTCACATAACGGTTGTTTGTAAGTCCTAAAACTAAGAGGGTCAGATATAGGGTTATATATACCAAAGTGACGAGTAGAGTTGAAATTCGGATGTCTGTCCGTCCATCCGTCCGTGCAAGCTGTAACTTGAGTAAAAATTGAGATATCATGATGAAACTTGGCACATGTAATTCTTGGCTCCATAAAAGGTTAAGTTCGAATATGGGCAAAATCGGCCCACGTGTCATAACTAAGCCACAAAATAAAATGAAATTTGGCACAAAGGATCGCATTAGGGAGGAGCATATTTGGACGTAATTTTTTTAACGTACTAACTTTTTTGTACATATCTCGAACTACTATACTATGTCAACCAAACTGTATAGAGTCGTTTCTGTTAGGCATTTCCATATATAATAATCACGCCCATCTCCCATACAAAGGTTATGTTGAAAATCACTAAAAGTGCGTTCACCGACTAAGATTAAACGTCAGAAACTAAATTTTACGGAAGAAATGTCAGAAGGAAGCTGCATCCAGGCTTTTTTTAAAAATTGAAAATGGGCGTGGCGTCGCCCACTTGTGGACCAAAAACCATACCTCAGGAAGTACTCAACCGATTTCAATGAAATTCGGTATATAATATTTTCTTAACACCCTGATGACATGTACCAAATATGGGTGAAATCGGTTCACAACCACGCCTGAAATCTCGATTATCACTTTATCATGCGAGAGTGAACTTAGCCCTTCCTTACTTGTATTTATTTATGTTTTTTGATTTAAGAGAAGCATTTATATATGATACACAGAGGGTAAAAGATTTGGTACATACGGCCTCTACTGAATGAGCTTTTCTATCTTACGGTCCGAGCTATACCTCTGGAGTCCGTTACTTAAATTAAGTGGACCCAATTGAAAGATAAAGGGTAATATGCGTTTTTAAGTACTCCTCAAGTTGCAGTGAATTACCTCAAAAAAACGAGAATGCCAAATGCTGTCGGAATAACGTTTAGTAAGAACGTTTATGTCTTCAGCTGCCTGTTTTTATCCAGGTAGAGTAGACTGAATATCTCTCAAATCGTTGCAGATAGAAGAATCCAGAAGCTCTCTACGTCCGATTCGCAACATTGAAATTTATTGAAGTGCAGTACTGTGTTTATGTGTATATATGTGTGTATATATGTGTATATATGTACACATGTATTAATGATTATTTATTCTTTTGGTTTAGCACTGCACTTATGAATCATAGCTTCCCAATTGGCTTTTAATACTGAAAAGTCCGAAAAGAAATCCAACAAAAGCTTTCTTCATCTCATAGAGAATCTAAAAACTCACCTCAGATTCTAAAGGCGGATCTTCGCCAGCCTCCAGCAGCAGCACTTTGATACGCGGGTTTTCGGTTAAACGACTGGCAACCACCGAACCAGCCGTACCGGCGCCCACAATGACGAAGTCATACTTCTCCAGACCTTCTCTCAGCGCTTCGTCAGCAAAGTCAGCAGGCCATTGGCTAGCGTTTGTCAACTCACACTTTGCTGTATTTATTGCGGCGAAGAGATTGCTGACAAGAGCTTCAGCGCTGCCAACGTATGAGGTCGCGCAGCTGGCGTGCGCCGTGGTGTCATTGGCTGCTGCCAAAAGCCTGCTAGCGTCGCTGATGACATGCGCGAGCGTTGTGCCGCTGATCACTGCAATCACCACGAGCGTCAAGGCAACTGTTGCTGTGGAAGAGGAAAAGCCTTAGAAATAAAATACAATTTTCCGTTTTATATACATATAATTCTATTTTGTTTACCCCAAATGAAAAACCTGAATTTCGTGCACGTCAAGTATTGAACATCGCTGTGTGCTTATCGAGGGCGCTGAACTGCTACTAAAAAGCTTACCTTTTTCAGCCCGAAATTGAAAGTGTGTGAAATGCATTAAATCTTAAATTTAAATTATATTATATGCGTTTACTTTTATCTCGGTATTTTATGGCAATTGTGATAACAATAATACCCTTAATTTTTATACTCCTGCAACATGTTGCTACAGAGTATAATGGCTTCATTCACCTAACGGTTGTACGTATCAGCTACAGGGTTATATACATATTAAATGATCAGGATGATGAGGCGATTTTTAATATGAGTAACGCTCTTTCTGCGCGTTATACAAGATACCCGTTTAAGCGCGAATGGCGACCAAAGGGTGACACGTTTGCACTAGTTCCGTAGTAGTTCCGCTGGTTGACGTTTTGCACCTTCATGTATTTCCCGGCTTTGATTTCTGCCAGTTTCAAAAGTATAAATGTTGCACTCGAAGTTAGCGCTTCCTTACTTCTTTTATTTGTTTTCGTCGCAATTCTCCACTTTGTTTTTAAACAGATTAACATGTCAGTAAGTCATGTTTGGAGTGCAGCAGTAGGACACATGCACATACATAAACCTATATACAGTGGTGGCCTTATAAATAGAAACGATATGCTAGAAGAAATCAAATCACTGTATACTTTTTTCAGATGTGCACTTTAAATTGTAATTCCCGTTATTTGTAGTGTGTACTTTGAACGTTATTGTTAAAGAAACACGTGACTGTGTGCTGATTGGTTATTGAAAAAATTAAAATTATTTCCCGGTTTAGGTTTCTTGGCTGGACACGTAATTAGAAACGTGCAGTTTTTTTTTTTGATTCTTGGTTTTTTTTTAACTTAACGATAAAGTGAGTATACTTCAATTAAACAATGTTCAATTAAAAGTGTTTTAATTATTAGAATGGGCAAAAAAAAGTCATATACTCCCAAAATGAGAGAGTTAATTGTAAGGTGCCATCAAAAGGAGCAACTTTCAATGTCAGCTATCGCACAAAGGATTTCCTGCTCCAAAATAATGGTATTTGTAGCTATTCATTTGTATAAAAAAAAACAAAGAAATTTAAAACCACTACCAGGAAGAGCAGACCTCGAAAAACCACTCCAGCAAAAGACCGGACAATTTGTATGACGGATCAAAAACAATCCTTTCATGACTAGGCGTGAAATAAAGGCTGAAGTTGGACAAGAAATGAAGGTAGAAATATCAGCTCGGACGATAAGAAGACGAGGCGTTTATAGGAGTCGGGACTTCGTGGTTGCATTGCGCAAAAAAAAAACTCCAGTAAGACGTTCCTCCAACATGGCGTTGAGCCCCAGGTACACTGTGAAAGCAGTAAAACATGGTGGCGAATTCGTTATGCTGTGGGGAGCCTTTTCCTCTCTTGGTATTGGCCCAATAGTGCTTTTTCAAGGGATAATAGACCAACATCAATATAAAAGCATTCTGGAACCACATTCCTTTGAGAATATGCCAGTCCATTATATGATGATGTTGACCCTAAACATACTTGGATTGGCCTCCGCAATGTCCTGATCTCAACCCAATTGAAAATTTATGGGCAATTGTGAAACGAGATCTTAAAGACAAAGAACCGCGAAATAATGACGGGTTGTTTCAAATAGTCCAACAAAATTTGACATAGCATATCAGTGTAAACATGCCAACAATTAATCCACAATTTACCGCGAACGTTATATAATATTGTTAAAAATAAGGGATATCCAACAAAATACTACAAATTTAATAAATTTTTTCAATTTTATATAAATATTTTTAAATTTTTACTGTTGTTTCTAATTATATGACCAAATTGAATTTGGTGTTCTTTCTGTTCGCCTCATTGTCTTGAAAATTGTTGTTGCTTTTTTTATGTTAAACTCAAACAAAATGTGTTACTTTGTTGTTTCCAATTTATAGTTTTAATGTGGCAATCTAAAATTTCAAAATAAATTAAGAAAACTATATGCAGCAAAGTCGTTACTAATTATAACACCACCACTGTATATTTTGTTGCTGCTTTTTGACGTGCTGAATAACAGTGCATCTTTGTTTCGTGTTGTGAGTGCATTCGCATTATACCACTCGTATTATATTTTACAGCACATATTGTAGGGAGTAAAAGCTGCTCATTTATATTTGGTTAAGGCAGTTTTCAAAGTTTAAATATTAACTCGCAGTGTGTGTTGTTGGTAACATATTTCCAGCATTCCAGTTCAAGAGTTAACGAACTTAAGTAAACAAAATAAATTCACCACTTCATGCTCAGCGTATATTAAGAGAGAGAGAGAGAGAGAGAGAGAGAGAGGGAGAGCACGTAAATTGGAAATGATGTTCATGGTTGCGAACTTTTAAATTTCAAAAAGCATAAAAACTTAAAAAACGGCGTCTTTTGATAAAAACAACTTTATCAAACATTTTCTAAACAGTTTACAGTTAAAAAAATTAAAAAAAAGCATGCATGTAACGTGCAAATCATATATTTCCATAAGAAAAACAGAAGCAAAAGTATAACAGAAGCCATACCCTGATTTTTAAAGTCAGTGCAATGCGTTAAACTCGAATATTTAATTTACAGAATTTACCTTTATTATAGGAAGGGTTATAACAATGAAACCTTTAATCCTTCCTTTGTCTTTAGACAGATTACAGTTGTCAGGTTGTAAGCCATTTTTATTTTGAATATTTGGTCACTGTACTTATATTCTCATAATAAAATAAATACTAATATTAATCCATAGTTCCAATATTTTTTCGACTTATTTTTGTGAGCAAAAGCAACCAACTTCATTTGTATTTGTTTGAAGCTGCTTTCAAAATTTAAATGTCTACTCGCTCTGTGCTTTTGAAACTTCCAGCTTTTCATTCGACGGTTAACGAACTTTTTACTTAATAAACTCACCACCGTAATTGCACGAGCGAGAGCGCATGACACGAAAACCTAGCGATTGTCCAAAGCTACTATGAGTAAATATAAGATTATCCGTTATGAGTTCTGGTAAATATATTATACAAATATATAAATGTTATGTTTTTTTTTGCTGAAAAATATTTGAACTTCAAACATTAATTTCCAAATGCCTATAAGTATTGAAAATTGAGGATATTTTTACTTTGCTAGAATTCGAAATTTCCTCAATTGCTACAATTCATGTAATACAACAGTAGATATTAAATTTTGGAAATCTTTTAACAAGGGTGCTTCGCTGCCTGAAAATTTCGGGGTTAATATTTTTTGCAAAAAATTTTAAACGTAGGCGAAAATCAAACTTACAGGCGAAATTTCTAGAACTGATGACAGCAACAATAAATAATCGCTTTCGCTTAGTAATTTTTGGATCAAAACTCGTAATTTATTCTCTTCACTTATTTTGAAGACTTTTAGGATCTGAAATATAGCATTTAATCACATAGGCACAGCGAGAACAATGCCATCACATTAACTTATTAAAAAATTATCGTTTAAAAAAATATAAATATGTCACAAGCTCTGAAAAGTATGAGTACTCAACAAAGAATCTTTCCTATACTGATTTTAGGTGGATTTTGATATAAATAATTTTCCCAAATATTTCGCAAAAGTATTGTCCAGTAAATGCCCTGAAGTTAGACCATTAATTATTGTGTTCTTACAAATCTTAATCCTGAAATATGTAAAATGTAAAAAACAGAGTTTTCAACGTTCTAATTTCGATCTAATTTCGAAAAAGGCTCTCGTTTCCGCATCATCAATAAATATAATTGAACTGCTAAAATTCAGGCCCACTTCAAACTCTGCTTTCAATGCCATAACCATTTAACTTAAAATTTTCAATAATATATAGATATATTCATTTTTATAATGGTCTTTCCTAATAATTTGGAGTGGTTGATAGGGCGCATTGAGCAATTGCAGCCTGCTTTTAAAATTGCTTTTTAAGTATGTTTTAAAAAGTATATATTTTTTCGATCATACACACATTACAGATTATATTTTGTATACTTTAAAAATTCGCATTTCCTTAATTTCTATTTACATGACACATAAACTCTGCTGTTTTGGATTAAATACAAAAAAATAAATAAATAACAAAATTTCTAAGTTTTTCCAAGCATAAAACTGAAGAAAGTATATACCCCACCTAGCAGCGTGGACCCGAACCCAACCGCCGCAAACCGCATAACTAGATTATCGTGTTCTTTATCCAGAACTCCTTGATCATGTCTGAACCCTTCTCCGCGATCATTATCACCGGTGCATTTGTATTAGCGCTCACCAACTTGGGCATAATACTCGCGTCTATCACACGCAGGCCGCGTATGCCATACACACGTAATTGCGGATCGACCACCGCTTCGGGATCCCAATAGGGACCCATTTTGCATGTGCCCACCGGATGATAGATCGTCACGGTGTAATGACGTATCATACACTCCCAGTAGGGATCGGTGAACATCTGCAGATGCTGACAGCCAGGCCATTTGATAGATGAGATGCGTGAGCCGAAGCGTTGCATAGCTTTCGTGCGAGAAAGCGCTACAGCGATCTTGGCGCCCTCAATCAGTGTCTTTGTATCGAGTTCGTCACTTAAATAGTTCGGGTAAATATACGGATAATCGAATGGATTATTGCTGCGCAACTTAATCGAGCCAATACTGCGAGGACGCAACAACATCGGTATTATGCTCCAGGCATCGCGATTGTTAATCTTCTCGAATACTGCTCGATAGAAGGCATCTGTAAGTCCATGTGCTTTTCGCAACTGAGAACCGCCATCTGAATTCGTAGAACCGGAAACAAAATGAAATTCAATATCGGGCCAATCCAGCGAAGTATTCGCATATTTTGTATTCACGAAAGCGAGTCCCTCAACGCCGCCAAGTATTGTGAGTGGACCTTGTCCGAAAACAGCGTACTGCAGCACTGTCGACATGGAGTGGAAGCGACTCTCCACAATAGAAACCGGTTGATTAACCAGAAACGTGAGACCGCCTAAGCCAATGTGATCTTGCATATTCTCGCCAACGTTGAGCTCTTTGATAACCGGTATACGATGTTTAGCTAGCTCTTTGCGCGGTCCAATTCCGGATAACATCAATAATTGTGGCGAATTGACCGAGCCACCCGAGAGAATGACCTCTTTTGTCGCGCGTATACGATATATGCGTTGATTCTTTACAAATTCAACACCGAAAGCCAATTTCGTCACTGGGTCGATCATTATACGTGTAACATGCGAGTGCATAGATATGTGCAGATTAGGACGCAAACGAGCCGGCCGCAGAAAAGCTTTCGCGCTGCTGCAGCGACTACCACGTCGCGTTGTGCCTTGCGCGATCATAAACCCAGCTTGTTTCTCGCCATTCAGATCGCGGTTATCGTAGCCCATTTCAACTCCCGCTTCAACGAAGCTTGCCGCTAACGGTGTGTGATAAGGCGCCTCACCGACTGTCAGATAGCCGCCAGTGGAGTGATAAGGTGTACTGGATAAATATGGGTTTGTGTTATCCTCAGATTTTTTGAAATAGTACAAAGCATCGCGATAACCCCAACCCGGATTGCCGGCGGCCTCCCAATTATCATAGTCGATTTTACTGCCGCGTAAATACAACATATAGTTTAGCACACTTGAGCCGCCGAGCACCTTACCGCGTGGCCAGTTACAACGTCCATTGTTCATGGCTTTAAAAGAAAAGCTATGTCATTACTTCTATAGAAAACAAAAAGTTATATTCACACGCTCACCCAAACAGAATTTGCCTGACGGTTCCGTCTTATATTTCCAATCCATTTTGCTCAACTGTAGATAGCCCGCCATGAGTGGCACATCCGATATTTCAGTCTCATCGCCGCCAGCCTCCAACAACAGTACATTCCAATTTTCCACCTCTGTCAGTCGATTAGCCACAACTGCACCCGCTGAGCCCGCCCCTATCACTATAAAATCATATCGTTCCAATATGTCATCGGTGGACAAATCTTCTGCCCGAGATTCTGGATCCATAATCTCTTCGTACTGAAAGTAGGCAATAGCGGCCACCAACATCGGTATAAACCAGCTATTGCTGGTAGCGGCTGTCACTGCGCCACCTATCGCCGTGGCTGCGCCCACAATTGCGCTCATTTTAGGGGAATTAGAAGAAAACTACTTTTTTAATGTAAATTATACTTCCCAAGAGCATCGACGAAGTTAACTGCAAAAAGTAAAAGCAAAATTAAATGAAAATGCATAAATGTCATAGTTTTAATGAAGACTGGAACATTATGAAGAAATTAATTTTCTTATTAAAATGCACTTTGTAAACTTACTAAATTCAGAAGTGCGTCCTCACTACATATTTATGCTTTATATATTTCATCGTCTATAACTTCAATAACGCCTTTATAATGTGCCATTTTTATCTCTATAACGCAAGGTTTATCAATCTTCTATTCTATAATACTGGTTTCATGAATAGCTTCTGCAAGCTCGAAAAATAGATATTTAGATAAGCTTTGGGTACAATGGTATACAGAGAAACGAAATTTCTGAAGATATTGCAAAAAGTGCCATTCGGTGGCTACTGAGTCAGTATAAGAAAAACATAAGTCATAACGCAATGAAGTTTCTGAAAGGAACGAACGGGTCAGGGTGAGTTGGAATGCCTTAAGGACATGTAGGATCGCCCAGATGATGTGTAAGAAAAACACGCATGATTTTTACTTTTTAGTCATACGAACTCGAAAGTACTGCAGAACTTCTATTATTATTGACCGGTCACACAAAGTAGAGGCATCACGTGCAAACCGGTAATGATGATCACATGATGATCTTCAGAATGTGCAGGATGCTGGGCATGGAAGAGATACTGTAATACCTCCTATGATTTCGTCTAGCTTTACCTAGAAGTCCTCTTAGATATCTAGGAACTACTCGGCTCGACGGATTAAATGAAGTAACAAAATTACATGTCTAATCATCATATCAATATAATTTCAATAGATTTATGATCACTCACTACAATATATAGTGGGATTATTATTATGTTTCTACATTGACTTAACCACCCAACTAGTTCAAATATATTGCGTGTGTGTGTCTTAGCATACCTGTAAAAAAATTAAAGGTTGCGAGTAACAATAAGAAAAGTGCTGCTATGGTCGCATAATTTAATCGATTAAAATTGTTTGATAATAATCACGTGCAGTACGTGTATTTGTTTTAACCCTTAAAAGAAAAGCTGCTTCTTTATATATGTATAATAAAGGGTGATCCATTTCCCTACTTTTTTATTTTAAAGAAACACAGAAACTTCAAACTTAATGATGAATATTTATTATAATTCGAAAGAACATTTTTTTACATTTATTTTTTGAAGATTATCTCTTCCAAATGTTGATCGCGCCTAAGTCTCAGGTGGTCCATCCGTGGAGTCCGATTTTAGATGACTCCTTCTAACATTTCGACTCGTAACTGGAGAATGACAGGCTTGAATCGAAGCAGGACCTTAGATTTCACATATCCCCACAGGCAAAAGTTTGACGGTGTGATATCACACGATCTTGATGACCAATCGACCGGCCCAAAACATGAAATTATCTGCCCACCAAAGTGTTCGATCAAAAAATGTATTTACGGATGCGAGTTCTGGGAAGTGGCGCCGTCTTGTGGAAATCAAATCTTGCCGTGATCACGAGCTTCAATTCCAGACATCAAATAGTCGGTTATCATGGCGCGATAGCGGTCTCATTTGTCGATTACGTTCTCACTGGCATCAACGTGGTTTTTTCTGAATGAAATGGCAGATATTAAATCTCTTCACGTTGCTCTTCGTCCTAAATACGGCAATTTTGCTTGCTCGCATACCCATTGCGCCAAAAATGGGCCTTATTGCTGAATAAAATTTGGCTCGAAAACTTTGAATCTTTTTGGAACTTAGAGAGCCCATGGTGTGGCGAGATGTCACTTAGAAAGATAGAATGGCTTCAGTTCTTGTATTAACTGTATTCTATGCACTTTGAATTTAAGATCTCGGCGTAAAATGCGCCAAGTCATTTCATACGTCAGTCGAAGTTGGTTTTCGTGTACATCCTCAGCTACGGCTGCTATATTTTCTTCACTGCGTGCTGGACGTCATCTATTCGGTCGAATATTATCCAATAATAAATGCTGGGTCTCCAGATTGTGATAGGTTTGCGAATAGTACGCTCACTGTTGACCATAAGTTTTCAGTCGTCAATTTTCGTAATAAAATTGAACTAGTATTTGTAAACGTTATTCAGGCATAAGTCAATATAAAACTCAAATATTTTATGACAAATTAACACGACTCACGCGCGTTCTGTCAAAAACAAAAACGCTACTGAAATATGAACCACTGCTTGGATCAAACATCAGAAAAGCGAAAGAATTATAGTTTGAAATATACTTGCTTCGTTATTTCAAATTTTAAACCGAAGCGTTGAATCGAAAAATGTATTGTCAAGACTGAATAAAAAGTGGGCTAGCTCCAAAGAGCATTCTGACTTTTTTGTTTTTTTTTTTACTTTCTATAATTAAAGACATTCGAAATTCATGAGAATATCAAAAGAATGTGGTTGTTCTACTACTACCAATTTCAGATACTTTGTTGGATTTGTTATGGTCATAGAAAATGTATACCTAAATTATTAGTTAACGCAGTAAGGTTGGACAACACACTACCGAATTGCTTTGTGAATTTTAAATACATACATTCAATACGTACATATATACAATCAAATTTCGTAATAGTTCCTGATACATGTACACGACTACACACCTGCACAAAGAAATTTACTGCGAGTCAGATATCAAGTGCAGCTTTAATTTCTTTCGATTTCATTTGCCAATTGCAGCTCCACGAATTTGCATTTAACGGTCCGATCAATACGAAAAATTGTATTAAAGTCCAAAAATATAAGTTTATACATATACATACATATATGTAATCAAAAGTCAAATTTTGAAAAACACCGCATTGAAATCGAAATGCGAAGGTTTGCCTGCAATATCGGCGCTTCGGCCACCTTGCCAAGACCCGTCGGTTAATTGCTATGCGCATAGTGTCCGCGATGACTGCGTGCTCCCAAAATGCTTCCGCGAAGACGGCAAATATATATTATATTAGTATTAGTACAATATATTTGTGCATACAGATATAATTATACTCGAAAAGGAGGCCGACATAAAATTTGGCAAGTAGAAAATGGGTAAAAATGCTTCTGTAGGGTATAGCATGTAGGTATAGCTATTTGGGTGTTTTATTTATACCTATTAAAACACGTAAATGTGTTTGTAACACTCTTTTTGTGTCATGTTGCAGGTGTTTAATTAATAAAATAATTTGATTTAGAAATACAGTGCAATACAGCTGCGCCTGGATGTGCAATTAAGTTTCTTCTCCTTTATACCCTGACCATTGTACATTAAGTTTGTCATAAGGTTTCTAATACTAAGAAGGAAACGTTGTAGATATACATAAATGAACATTGAGACGAGCTCAGTTGATTTAGCTATATCTGACTGTTCGTCCGTCCGTCTGTATGCATGTACGCGAACAAGTCCCCGAGTTTCTGAGATATCGATTTAAAATTTTGCATAGTTTTTTCTCCTCGAAGAGCTACCTGGAACCACCGAAATCGAACCACTATAGCAATCTAAAACTTACCGATCCGTTAGATCTACGATATTCCCAAGACAGCCGGTTCTACGTACCGGAATTGACTCGGATTTTATCCGACCAAGGACTGTTTTTTCGGCGATCTAATCCCGTTAAAAAAAATCTGCGACATAAAAACAAGTCATAACGCAATGAAATTGCCGAAAGGAACGAACGGGTCAGGGCAAGATCGAATGCCTTAAGGGCAGGATCGCCCAGATGGTATGTAAGAAAAACACGCATGATTTTTACTTTTTACTCATACGATCTCGAAAGTACTGCAGAACTTCTATTATTATTGGCCAGTCACACAAAGTAGAGGCATCACGTGCGAGCCGGTAAGCCGGTAATGATGATTTCTTCAGAGTGTGCAGGAAGTTGGGCATAGGAGAGTTGCTGAAACACCTCCTATGGTTTTGTCTAGCTTTATCTAGAAGTCCTTTTAGATATCTAGGAACTCTCGGCTCAACGGATTAAATGAAGTAACAAAATTAGATATCCAATCATCATATCTCTGACAGCACAGCCCTTGGGCAGATAAAATCAGGGCCAATTCATCACATCTAACAAACCGCTCACCATAATCCGACCCCGTCGAAATAGCACAGGATGACCTCGATGACTTAACTCATCGCGATGTCTTCAAGGTATCAGGCTTATATTATTTCGTGAGACAATATTACAATCCGAAGAAATTGTTAAGATCCGACCTCTTTAACAACATTGTTTAAGGTAGTAGTATGGTAACTTGGGTTCAAAAAATCGAAATTTTTTTGCTTAATTTCAAAGTACAAGGTCTTGAGAATATACTGTGAAAATTTCAGGCAGAAATTCGAAATATTTCGGGAGTTATAACGAGTTTCCTAGACGCCTCAGAGTTCTCTCCTTCTCGAGTTGTTGAACTTTTAACGCGTTTTTTTTTTTCAAAACATTGTTTTTCTGGTCGGCCCGGGTCCTAACTATTTTTCTACTGAACCGATTGCTTTTTTAACAGGCTATTCTACACACTCATAGTTCTCGTCGGTACTAACGAGAATTTTTTTCACCCCTAACTTTTTATTTTACAACCCTTTCTTTGCTAAAATAAAAAGACTTTTCTTTCAAAGTCCGCCATTTTGTTTTTTACCCATAAAACTTAGTAGTTCCGACCAGAATGACATGTCTATAGATTACGAATAAGCAAGAATATTTGATTTCAGATTTTTTTTTGTTTTTTTTTTTTTTTTGAGGTTCCAACTTCGAGGGGCAATAATAATAGTTATAAAGTATTTAATTTTTTTAAATAATTTTATTTATATTTTCAATATGTAAATATTTAAGATAATTCCTTTTTATTTTCCTATAAAAAAAACCACCCTCCAAAGTAGTCATGAAAATAGGCATAAGTCACCAGACCATCTTAGCTATTTAAGAGACACCATCCTGAACTTCTACGCGTTGCCAACCAACGGCCACCACATAAGAG